TGATGTTTATCTCAAAGTAATTTCATACATATTTCATAAATATAAAAAGCAACGCCGCCGTGTAGTTTTTCAAAAGATAGCAAAAATAAAATGCAGATCTTATGCTCTAAATCTGAATAATATCACCAATAGATATCTATTTACTTTTAGTTTATCTTGAAAAATTTATAATTAAATAAAGTATTTAATCCTCCATATCCACTCTGTAACAAAATTGCCAAAAACTCGAAGAAACAAATTACGAAATATATTAACAATATCCGTTTTAATATTATAATAGAATTCCAGGGTTAAACACGCTTTTGCTCTTTTCAAATTCCATGACTTTTACAGATTTTTCAAAAAACGGATGAATTTTTCCAGGTTTTTAAAATGAAAATTATTCGAAAACATCAATAACTTGATTTTTAAATAAATATTTAATCATTATTCTTTTATAGAAATTAAGATATTCAAAAATTTGAAATTCAATTTGTGAATTTGAACTTTTGCTTACAATTTAGTTTTACGAAATTTCGATTATTTTGACATTCTTCAATTAAATATGTTAGAAATTAAAAACTTCAGATAATTAAAAAATTCCATTAAACTTATTCAAAAATTCAAAAATTAATTCTACAGAATTTTTATAAATTAAAAGTATGAAAACTTCAAATCAAAGATTTTAATTTGAAATTCATTTTTAAATCAATATTTATTAGGAAATTCCACGAGAATTCAATTATTTAACTATAAAAATAAATATTTTATTAAACAATTGAATATTTCTTAAAATTGAATTTTCATAAAGATATTTATCAACAAATTTTTAAATAATTGAATTCTTTTGACAAATTTTAATAAAATTTTTAAGAATAATTGCATTTTTCGAGAAATTTGATGAAAATTGTATTAAAAATTATTGAAATTCTGCCAAGAATTTTATTAAAAGTTTTGAAAATAATTGAATTTCGGAGAAGGATTTTATTATTTATAAAGATAATTGAAGTTTTGACGAGAATTTTTGTAAATTTTTTAACATAATTGGATTTTTGCGAAGAATTTTGTTAAAATTATTTTTAAAAAAATTGAATTGTTACGCAAAGAATTGCATTAAAATTTTTGAAAATAATTTTATTCTTTAAAGAAATTTAATTAAAAATTTATTTAAAAAAATACTTAAATACTAATAAATAAATTGTAGGAAAAGTTATTAAAATAATTAAATTTCTTTCATAAATTTTAATAAAATATTTAAGAATAACGAAAAATAATGTTTTTCGAAGAATTCCATTAAAATTGTATTAAAAATAATTGAAATCCTGCGATGAATTTTATTATTTATGAAAATAATTGAATTATTGCAAAAAATTTTATTAAAATGTTCAACAAAAATTTAATTTCTATGAAAAATTTTGTTATTTTTGAAAATAATTGAATTCTTCATAAGAATTTTATTAAAATTTAAAAGAATAATTCAATTATTTCAAAAAAATTTAATTAAAACTGTATTTCATACTCCTGTGAATATTTAAGATTCCTGTGAAAAATTCTAATATTTTTGTAAATAATTGAATTCTTCGAAAGAATTAAAAAAAAACATTTTTCTAAATAATTGTTTTTTTCCAGGAATTGTAATTAAATTTTTAAGAATATTTATATTTGTCGAGCAAATTTTGTAAAATTGAATTAAAAATAATTGAATTCCTGCGATGAATTTTATTATTTATGAAAATAATTGAATAGTTGCTAAGAATTTTATTAAAATTTTCAAAAATAATTGAATTCCTGAGGAGATTTTTATTAATTATGAAAATAATTCAATTATTGCGAAAAATGTTATTAAAATGTTTAAAAAGAATTGAATTTCTGTGGAAAATTTTGTTATTTTTGAAAATAATTGAATTCTTTCTAAGAATTTAATAAACATTGTTTTAAATAATTAATTTTTTCGATTAATTAATTTAAAATAGTATTAAAAATAATTGAAATTCTTCGATGAGTTTTACTATTTATGAAAATAATTGAATTCTTGCTTAGAATTTTATCAAAAATTTTGTTTAAAAATTGAATTTCTATGAAAAATAAAATATTATTATAATATTGTTCATGTAAATAATTGAATAATATATGAAAATAATTTGTAGATAATTGAATTCCTGTGAAATTTTTATTATTTATGAAAATAATTAAATGTTTGCGTAGAATTTTATTAAAAATTTTTTTTAACTAATTGAATTCTTTTAGGAATATTTATTAAAGTAGTAGATATTAAAAATCATTGAATTGAGGAAAGTTTTTGAAAATAATTAAAATCTTGCCAAGAATTTTATTAAAATTTTTGAAAATAAACACAATTTTTTTAAAATTGAATTAATTTTGATAATTTATTCTATTAATATCAATTAAACTATGGAAGGATTTAACTCTTATTACTCAATATCCGTTCTATTGTATACAGAAATTAATAAATTACTTTATCTTTATAGATTTTTCTTCGAGTGCAGTTTTTCTTTGTATATACAAAAAGATGCATACAGACCGTTTGCCATACACAAAACAAGAAATGCAATAAATTAAAAGTGTTTACCTAAAAGCGTCTAGTCAGCCCGTGCCAGCTAATTTCTAGGCATGGAATAACTTTTGCGGTGGAGACCGATCCGCATTAAGATAGAGAGGTTGCTTGTAGCAGATAGCTGAAGTTTCGCTCGCTCCTCTCACTCTCTTATTCTCTCCCTCTCTCTCTCTCTCAAAACAGGAGGCGCATACTCCGACCACTGCGGGGATGCAGACTCCCGTATAGATACTCAATTAGCATACCCTCGTGCTTTTCATTAATAATCCTTCTAGTTAATCCTTATCTTCTCTCTCAATGGATGAGGGCGCGGTTTGTAAATTTATCCAATGTACACAGTATCACACTCTTGTTGACAACACTTGTTGATTATATAAAACTATACCAAACTCAAATGGAATATACACAGGCAAGAAAATACCTAATCAAATCACCAATGCTAATACTGGAATATACCCTCCATATATTACCGCAGATGGTAATTAAAAATCTGGAAATAATGCGCGGTAATAAATCTGAAAATCCACAAATTGAATATTGCGAGAAAAAATTATAAACGCGAATATAAAAATGTTTTGATGATCAGAATCTGCAAAAATGGTTGTTGTAATAGAAGACATTCGAGCAGAAGGGGAGCAAATCGAATTCATATGTTAATGCAATGTTGGTTTTTAAAATGAAAACATGATTGCATTTTATTATGATGACGACGACGCATAATTGGAGATAACTGCGATGCATAGTAATGACAACTATATTCTTTATAAGTGTAATCGATTGTGTAATAACGAACGAAGAATTGCATCTTAAAATCGTCTTCTATATTTGATAATCTACAGATGCCGATCTTAATAGATTATTGTTTACAGAAGCTACTTTGTCAATGAACGAATCAATTCCTTTTTGTCCTTCATATTCGTCAACGCATGTACATTGATTCCATAGATGATGCATATCAAGGTTTCTTATACTGAATTGCAAATTTGCAAATCTGTAAATCTCATCATGCAAAATGAATGAATTTCTATCAATTGAATTCCTTTGTTTCCTAATTCCATAAAATTCTTAATTTCTTTGTTCTTTTTTAGATATGTACAAAAAATTTGATGCTATATAATAATGCATCAAATTTTTGGTATGCTCTATCTTGATTAATACTTCGAATTTCTCAAAATATGAAAAATGTTAACAAATTTCTACAGATTTTTTCTAAGAAGACCCAAAACAATAAGAAATAAATGGCTGATACTGCACCAATTGGATGATCCTCTAACAGAGTTTTATATCAAGTTACTTCAGAATCAACTAAATTTTTAAAAATTTGGCCTAAAATGGTAATTGCACTTCTCTAATTTGATGATATATACTACGGAGCTTCATCAAATTATTACAGAATTTTTTTACAAATGTTTCCCTAAAACGGACAAAAAGAAACGTTACTCATCTGCTCCAATTTGGTGGTCCACTAGAACTATATTTTAAAAAAACACAAAAACAAACAAGTAAATTTTAAAGTATACTATACTCCAACTTGATGGGCCATTGAACTATTCCAGAATCAATCAATATTCTATACAGATATTTTCTAAAAAAGTCTAAACCCTAAAAGATAGGTTCTTCTAGATTCTTCATAAAGTATAGGTCTTAGCAGACTTTGATTCGATATGAGTTAATTTCAAAACTTTTTTCCCAAAAAAATATGCTGAAAATGTGTACGAAGATACTTTCAACATATCTTAAATTAAAATACTTCAAGTAACTAAAAAGCGTCTACCAAAACATCTTAGAAATTGCTACCAAAACATCATAAATTATAAGATATACTTCTTTTTGCAGTGAAACCACTATAGTTATCATATAGTTTTTCTAAGGATATCAAATTGAGACAAAAAACGAATCAAAACGTTGCACGTTTTGATTCGTTTTTTGTCTCAATTTGATATCTTTAGAAACACTATGCTGTAAAACTCCAGCAAAAGCAAAATTTACCTCCGTCAATTTTTCCAAATACCACAAATTGAAACCATCAATAATCATTAACATTAATATTAACATTAACCGTAAAAAAATGTAGAATCCCAACAATTAGATACACGTCCATTTAGGATGAAACCTCCAACTCAGATCAATAAATCCATTTATAATTCCCTGTAATCTTATAAGGACCCCGCAAAGAAATCACTATACAAACTGGTTGCGCACGTGGTCTGGAGTGATATAAACCTCGTGGCAGACGGAGCGGCGTAGGCGTAACGAAAATCTGATGTTTACAATCACGCGAAGGTCTCCTTGTTGGAATGGGTGGAGCCTTTCACTCGAACGACAAAGTGGACGTAACCAGGCAAACAAGGAACACACACGCACAGGTGATCATCCCGTCACGGCATCAAGAGAGGGTTGATAGTGTGCATTGAAAAGGGGGCGGTCACGTGATCAGAGTCACAAAACAAAGTGATTCGCTGGACGCGCCCTTGGGCGTCACTTGTTCAAGGTCACGCCCATTAAACGGCGCGCGCTCTCCGTTTCACTACCTCGTTTTCTCTCCTTCAATCGCATGTACTTTGGAAACCCAAAACTTGCTGTGGTACAGTTCCGTCTAGTCTATCGTAACTTTCAGAACGAACTTTTTCTCGGTCACCCCATGACACGGAAGTAAATACTATTTCTTTTTTCCTCTATTTAATTCAACTGAATGTTTCGGTGTTCGACACTTTACAATGTGAAGACAATGATGTGAAGTGAGGGATTTTTTTTTAAATTGTGAAACCGTGGACATTGGTGCGTGCGGGTTGTTAATTGTTATATTGTTGGTGAAGAGAGTAAAAAAGGAAGATGTTACCCTATCAGATGGCCATGGACTACGGGGGTTTTCAACGTCAAAGCCCCGTTGGAGTTGGAGTGGCTGGAGTCGGGGTCGGTGGTCCTCATCAGGGGACCGCCGGGGCGCTAAACATCAACCCCGCTTTCACGCACTCCTGGTTCGTACCGGCGGACCTCTGTGTCCCGTACAAACAGAGTCAGGGTCCTCTCCTCGAGCCAGGGCATGTTGTTTCTCTTTTTATACTTATTTCTCAATAATTATTTTATTTCATTTCTAATCAAGAAATATTAACAAAAGTATATCTGTCGTCTTTGCGTATATCTCAACTCTTTTATATTAATTTCAAACTCTCGTTTCTGCAATTGCTCATTGAATTTAAATCTCAAGGAAAAGTTGATAATTCCTCACCTTAATCGTTAAATTAGCATTTTAATTTATACTGACTGATTAATTAAACACACGAATATTTAAAATTTTTTTAAATTATTTTTTTTTTGAAAATTCAGTCCATCTTTCGTGTAAAAATATCGGGTGCGAAAATACTGAGATAAGGAAATATTTTTTTCATATGATAAATCAGTATTAAGTACATATTGATTTTATCTTAAACGACTCGCCATGAAATCCCCCATAATCTTCCACTTATTTATATACATAAGAAGATTGAGTCTTTTACACTTGCCGTTGATTTATCGAGTAAAGTCACGCAAAGAACAGGTGCACATTTGTACTTTAAATGAAGTAGAGTGAGAAAGAGAGCGAGAGGGAGGTTAATTCAATTATGAATTAAAGAGCGTGTAAATTTTTACCATCATTTCTTAATTTGCATATCATTATTTTCATCTAAGCAATTAACAATTATACTATGTTTAATATTTTCTTTACTTTTTTCAATTCTCTATTTTGGAACTAAATTTCTTTTTGGACTAGTGTTTTCATTGTATATAAATGTACTAAAAATGAACTAATTTTCATTTCGAAAGTTTAAATAGTTTCTAAGGGCCAGTTTCACTATCTCCGATTAAAAGTTAATCAATGATTAAATCCTTAACCGACCAATCATAAGCCTTTAAACTGGTTTTAATCATTGAATAACTTTTAATCGGAGTTGCCCTAAATCCTTAACCGACCAATCATGGACGGTGAAATGACTTTAATCATTGATTAACTTTTAATCGGAGTTGATGAAACTGTCCCTAAATCTGAAAAACCGAAAATACCACTAATTCCAATTAATAAAGACTGAATTTTTGTAAAATTTCACTGAATCATTATCACTCCGTTAGCCATTCAAAATCCTTTATGCCTTTAGCCACTCCTATTTGGAATTAATATGGCATTTTTCGTTGGGAATAGGTAAAATTTCGCTAATTCAGATTTAGAGAGTATTTTTAATATTAGAAAGAAAAGAAAAATCGATAAAGAATTTGCCGCCAAACGCATAGTAGTGATTTGATCTCCCGCGCATGAATATCTTTACAATGGTAAATTTTGTACGTGGTTTGACAACTCGATTTTCCTATTTTTTGTTTCTTTGTACACAAGCAAGGCACGCACATAGATTTCCAATTCATGAAAAAAAATTTCTAGCAAGGTGCTATTTGTATATTTTCGAAAAAAGAGAACACGCCTTTTCCATATACACATTTAGGTCATCAGCAGATAATAAATGTCTCCTAAATAATACCACGTTTCCTATACAAGCTAAACGTGACACTCGTACAAAATCAATTCGAAACAGAATTAGAACAATAAGTTCAATATTTTCTCACCTCCTTAATTGTAGAACTGAATTTTTAGAATTTTCTCACATAACAATATTCAAGGTATGAAATGTATGAAATGTAAGAAATGTAAGAATTCTATCTAATTTAATGAGTGAATGAAAAAAAATTAGAAAGGAAATAGCACGCGACAATATGTTCTGTTTTTTGTAAAGGAATGTTGTCTGATAAAATATTGAAAGTTTTCTGTGGTCAGGGAGGTAAAGTGGACGGGAGAAGATGTTCTATGTGAACGACCAGGGTAAGATCCCTTGGGAGCTCTGTCACAACGAGTAGATAATGGGGATGGCGATAGTATAAGGTGGTAGTGGTGTGTCTAAAGGGGGCAAAAGGGGGGGGGGGTGGTCGAAACGATGGTACAGATGAGTACGTCACGCTACGGCAGTAAACCCGATATGCGATCACAGGAACGCTGACGCTGACAGGGCATCCCGGGGAGCCGTCAACACCTACTCTCTTTTAACCCTCGTCCACCTCTTCCATCTCCATTTCGCAACCATCGTTACTAACCTCGCATTACTCTTTCTAAGTTCCATGTCAATCAGCCTTATTGCACCTTGTGCCCATAAAAAAGAAGGTAACAAGATCACGAAACTGATGATGTGTGCATGCGCGATATACTTTATGTTATACGCCAAAAAAGAATAATGTCCTCACAACATAAAAATAATCCAACAACAAAGAATTTTTAATTTCACACTGGAAATCCGTATAAATTCTTACTTTAAATTTTAACACCTCTAAATGAATGAACATTTTGACACCATTAAGCGCCAGTTTCACCAACTCCGATTAAAAGCTAATCAATGATTAAATCCTTAACCGACCAATCATGGGCGATTTGTTTTTTGTCTCGATTTGATATCCTCAGAAAAACTGAGTAAGAGTTCAAATTTCTCATAAACATCCGAAAACTGTTTCAAGAGATTGAAACAAGATAGAGAGATGACTATATATATATACTTATTCTTTCCCGGAATATGAGGATCCCATGAAGATTTCATAATAACTAAAAAAAAGGAAACATATTCTAAATCATGAATGAATATTCAGTCTTATCTATATCAAATCTTCTCTTAAGATGAGTTTTTCATTCAAATCTTTTTACGATTCACGTACAAAAAAAAACTAAGTCAAAAGTACTAAACCTTTTTGAATGCGTACAATATAAAACAAGAAAACAGAATTCATGAATGAAAAACCACGATTAGAATCTAAATTAATATAAAAATCTTTATGATAATATCGATAAGATTATCATATATGATAAGATCGTTGACCGACAGGTTCTCAAGTTAGGTAAAGTAGAGGTTCGTTGCGGCCTCACGTTCCCGGAAGTTGAGTCGCGAGAATGTCCGGATACGAGACATCGGACGTGATATCCCCACAAAAGGTGGTCCAAGGAGAAAGGGGGGTTGTTAGCCTACTGTCTACGTTAAAACTTTGCTTGGGCCCAAAGTCGTCTTTTTAACCACAAAACTTTCTCTCTCTCTCTCTCTTTTTCTCTCTTTAGGCGCAATGTATTTTTGCCTCATCTCCAACAATGACTAAAAGTTCTCAGGCTCTGTCTTGACTTAGTTACATCAGGAAGCCCGTCACGTAAACTTTAAGCCCTCCCTTATCTACGCGTCATCGTTGAACCTCTTCCCACCCCCCTCCCACCATATTCGTCTTCATCTCTTTGTTGTTGCATGTCTGTCTTCTTGCGGTCATGATTTACCTTCACCGGATAATTTTGGAATACTCTTAAATTTCACCGAAAAAAAAACATTTCCATATGATTTTATATCTTTAAGATCTACCGGAAGTTTTAATGGTTTACGTTGACAGATTTTTTAATCAGTATAGGCAAAAACAGTAGCCAGTTCTCACCTCATCGTTGAACGGGTTTTGAATATTATTATATATTCATCAACAAGGTGAATGGTCTCCCGCACAATTTTAACAGGGACATTGCGTAAAAAAGACTTGTGAAATCATTGAGATGTATGGACACACGATATCTATCTCTTAGGATATAAAAATCATAGGAGTGAGATGCACGTTCATTAACCTCACTGGCGCCAGAACATTTATTACAATCTCTACAAATATAGATTTAAAGTTCCCACATTTAACAATTTTCATCCTTATCTTAATCTTGTTTCTATGAATCAAGATAGTCGTATGAGAATCTCATGAGAGGATAGATTATACATTTCTTTTTAAATTACTATATACATAAAGTGGAATTTTCCGCATATAAAACAAAATAATCCTAACGTTTTCTTTTTCCCTTTTCGCCAAGTTGGCAAAAATCTTAAACATCAGAGGCAATAAAAGCACGCGCACCCTTTCTGCAATTCCAATCATCACCCTACTCTCGCACCATGAAAAAAATCCATTTCTAATCCTCCGGGCTTTTGATCTCTCGCCACTTCCCTTTTCAATGACTATTACGTCTCTCGTGGTTTTGATACCAGTAAAGAGAAACTGGTTGATTCTTCTTTTTTTTCTTTTGAGGAAATTATAATGCACACCATCGCTACAGCTTCTTCAACTAATTCAATTAAACGACTTGCTCAGAGGGACACCACCTGAGGGCATGTCTCTCATTTCACTCCAACTCGTGCGATAGTATTGGTCTCGAGACTCTATATAGAAGGAGAAACATGAGTTGTTGGAGAAGGACCAAAATGCTTCACTGGTCCCAGGAGAGTAATACTCTCACACGCTACAATACAATGCTCCTAATGTTAAGGCTCTAGTTTCGACATAATTTTCTTTCTCGGACCCTTTAGCAGAGCGCTAACATTACCGATGGCCAAAAACCTTATACATATATACACTCTCACATACTTTTTTTCAGAGAATTCGACAAAAGGAAATGTTATTTCCGGTGACCGCTCGATAACGATGACCGTCTAACGAATGGCGCAGGAACCAACTTACACCATAGTGTTTGCCAATTCCCTAAAGGAATCTATAGATTCCTTTCAAATTTAAAGACGACTTGATAGTAACAGTTCATATTGATTTTTATTCAAGGTGCCAACTTGAAATTCATATATATGTGAGACTTCAACTTGTGGAGTTGAATATTGTGTCTCAATACTGGACTCTCATTTCTTATTCTTGTCAGAGTCGCGGGTATGAAGAAAATTTATGGCTTCCAGGAACGGGTAAAACTACATTGTTCAACAATTGTCAGCCAGCAGATTTTAATAAGGAACATTATTCGTTTGAGGTCAAACCATAAATTGATTGAAGCGCTTTGGAATCAATAATTTCTAAAAATCTCAAACTTCAGAAATAAAAAGTTAACCAAACAAAAAGTTTTGCAAACTAACAAAACGCAGACTTTCCCCATGGGTACCTATTTAAATTAACACACGAAAACAATTTTACAATATGGAAAATTAATATATTTAGGCGTGGCCCCGCAGGTCGATTGAACGCACATCAATTGTCAGGGAAATGCATAAACTCGTATATTATATATTGGATGTCGCTTAAACAGCATACATTATTCAGCCGCTATCAAGCTTGCATTTACCGGGAAACCGTAATTGCATCCGATCGAATGTTGGCATTGCTGGCCACGCCTCCTAGAGTCCATTTCCGGTTTTACCTTTAACCACCAACCAATAAGCGACGTTGACCCGCATTAGTCAAAACTTCCCACCGACGGTCAATAGCCTCATGCTAATCAAGTTACCTTGCTTTTGTACAAAACAGGTCTGAACAATTAAGTTGATTAGACACACCAGCACCATTTTGAGGAATATAGATATAGAATTTTGTCGAATTATCCACGGAAAACCGCCATATTAATTACTATAAAATTCTTACCCTATTTTAGAAAAAAGATAATCCGGCGAGAAAAATTTCCACTAGTAAAGAGAATATATCTTCTGCCATCTTGACAAAAATGTACAATAGAACATAATTATCACAGTTTTTTGAGGATATCAAATTGAGACAAAAAACGTATCAAGACGTTGCACGTTTTGATACGTTTTTTGTATCAATTTGATACTGTGATATACTTTATTAATACCAGAGGTTAATATATAGTCCGGAATGTAAATATGCATCACTCATGCACTGAATAGTTTGCATTATAAATGATGCACTCTACAATCCGCATTATAAATGGTACAATTTATTAAACACCATTTGTAAATGGTACAATTCATTTTATATCATCTACAATGCAAATTTAAGAGAGCGTTACCCATTTAGTATACTGTTCATAATTTGCCTTACAAATACAATTCATTTGTACCACCTTAAATATCTGCATTAAACAGGACAAATGAAAATTTTGTACCGAACGTATTGACTAAATTTATAAATTGAGTTTACCATCTCTAGCAACAATCTTAATTTTTACTATTCAATTGTATTATAAATGGATATAGTATTCACTAAATATTGTCTGCAATTTAAAATGTAAATGGTACCTGTTTGTATGGTAATGCAATCTAAATGGTACGGTTATGAAACAATCATTAATCCAAACTGTAATTGATTCAATTTTGATGATGATGATGATGATACCATCTTTCTTGTATTTTTGATACCATCCTAATGCTGCTAATTAGAAAATGTCATTTATCCAAATGTTACAATTTGTGTAATTTAATTAATACTATATATCTTTATTAAAAATTCTAATTGGTACTAATTACTCAAAATTATCCATAATACAGAGATTGCAACTGGTATACAAATTAGGTTAATTAATATAATTTGTAATAGAGGTTCTTAATGCTACATATATATTGCTGAATATTTGTAATAAAAAATATATGCAATTTATTTAATACTATATTATCAATAATGCAGATATCGAAGGCAATAATTATAACATCATTTATAAATACAAATTTCAACTAGCACAACCTAGTTAATACCATATCATTATGCAGATTTCTAATATATAATTTAGAAAACATTGCTTCAAGTTGCAATTGGAATAATTTATTCCATCTTAGAAGAATTTATTCCTATTTTAGAAGAAGGTTCCAAATCCTACTAATCATTAAAATCTATAATCGAAATTACTACTCGTACAATTCAACTTTAAACTCTAACTTCATCGACTGCATCTTTAATACGCAGATTCTAAGGCTAATTGCTTAATATATATCATCTACAATCCAAATTGCATTACAGTTTAGTTGGTATAATCATTAGCATATCATAAATGGAAGAGTTCACCTAACATCCATCATCCACATAACAACTGGGCAACACCTTCTTCCATTAACCGCATCTCGTGGTTAATGAAGATAAAACTTAATTGAATGCAGATTCCAAAGGACTCCTAAATATCTAAAATCCACATTTTAACCATTATACACAATCATAAAATACGATCAACAACAAATTCAAAATCTCTAATTCAATTTTCAATCAGGTTCTATACACAAACGCTACAAAATCTAAAATCTCTATTCTACATTGCACTGTAATTACAAACAGAATCTAGATTATAAATTACCATTCAAGAGACATGCTCAACGACAAATTCTCCTTTTATAAAAGCATTCATTTGTCGTTTTGCTTTTAATTACAGTTTATATAAAATTAATCCCTCTCGACGGTGTCTTTTGTACTACTTATCTCTTTTCTACCGTGACGAAAAAAATGAGGTAGTACAATAAAACGGTCTATTTAAGCCGAAAGGGTTAAAAACAAGATGGGTTTTTATTAGGCCCTCATTAGACTTAATGGCTCAAGAATGAAAGTACTTCAAGCTTCGTGAATGCTTAAGAAGTAACAGAAACGTCTGCAAAGACTATATAGTCCAGCAGCACAGAAAAGACCATCAGTGATAGCCCGTGTCGCATTTCGCCTTCACCATAACTTGATCTCCTTATAGCCTTTTCGCGTCCCGCGCGCTCTCACAGTCCCAGAGGAACAATGACAGCAACATTCCCTCTTCGACGATTCCACCGAGGCGGCGGGTATTACTTTTCAGAATGTCATGGATATTAGAGGGGTAAGAAAGTTAGAAAGTCTTCAAGTTGAGAATATTTCTGTCATGAAACAAGACCGAAAATTGTCCCAACTTGAAAATGAGGGAAGAAAAACAAAACCCCAAAGAATAATTAAAATATGGCATAACAATTTTTACTCATCATTTAAATTCCAGTAGACCTTTTAAAATTGATTATAAACTTAGTATTTTACTGAAATAGCGGATTTGCAACTAGAGAACATATTTATGAAAAAGGTCGTGAGTTAAAAAATTATTGGTTTTATTTCGAACCCTCTTGATTTATCCAGATTGAAGACATTTGCCCACAGGTTTCCCGATTGAAATGTTCTCCAGAGACCAACACGCAAGAAGGGAGATGTCACAAATCTTAAAACCCTCTAACAGCATATAAGAGATAATATTTTTGTCAATATATTATAATACTCCTGTTGTCTCACAGGAAAGAAAATTTCTCCTTTAGATTCCTTTTCTTTACGACTATTAATTGATGATAAGAGGGCAAAGATCTAATTACACTGCTGAAACCATCCAACCGGTGCTGATTGTGCAAAGATAAAAGACAAGACAGTGTATGTGCGAGTGAGTGTGTGTCTCTCGTTTTTTTCTATTCTCGACAATTCTTTTCTCCCCAGAGGTAAGAGGTGGGTTTGAAAGGCATCATTTTGCCATGTGCGAGCTTGCAACAACCGTCTGCAGACGCGTGAAAATAAAATTAAGCCCAACTTTCGGTCAAATTGGTTGAAATTGGGAGACGATATAAGGGCCCAGGAGTCCCAGGGGTTCAAGTCCCTTTACGTGAAAGTGATGTTGAGTGTGAGAATGAAGAAAACGATGGTAGGAACTTAGTAAAGCCTCGGACACACGAGAGGATAAGCCTTGGGTTAGGGGGTGCTGAGTGCCAGGCATCAATAATTCAGCAGCGGACTATGACGAGGTTACCGTTTGGCTGCCTCGATCTCCCTCATTCACGCTTTCTCTCAAAACAAAATGCACACGTGAAACCTGAATACCATCCAAATAAAAACCTAGGGGTTCCGATCTTAATCGGTTCCCCTTCCCCTATACTGCTGGTTCAAGAAACGAAAACACTTGCAAATTATTCCATCAGTCTCTTAAACCCTAATGATCCTATTTCAAACTTACAAGAAATATAAGTCTTTTGGAATTTAATCACAATCGAAGAAGTTAATCTTTTCACAATTCGAATCTTGACTCATGTCAATCGAAAGTTGTCACATTAATTTTGTATTCATAAATTGTCAACATGGATCGATACCATTGTTTTATTATAATCCATTCAACTATTTACGCAATGTAAATGTATATAAAATTAACATGAATCAAAATATGCTAATCTCGATGATTCACTAATCTGAACTAATTTTTTCAAACAAAATATTTCCATTGCAAAAAGCGAGGCAAAAAGCGAAGCTTTTCATTGCCTTACTGCTGCATACTGCACTAATTAGTGATTGCCACAAAACTTGAACATTATAAACATTTTGCATTAAATTCAGATTTTATTTATTTTATCCATAGAGCAAAGACGCTAATTTACAGAAAAGGGGAAAACAAGAGAAAACACTTATCAGATAGAATAATATAAGAAACAGATGTGAGTAACTCGATAGGAAATCTAACCGTGCATAAATTTTTGTCCTTGCAGCATCCTTGAACTGAGGAAAGAGAAAAGCAGAGATGCTGCTAGGTCACGTCGTGGAAAGGAGAACTACGAGTTTTACGAGTTAGCGAAAATGTTGCCTCTACCAGCAGCCATCACCTCCCAACTGGACAAGGCTTCCATTATAAGGCTGACAATCTCCTACCTTAAACTTCGTGACTTCTCGGGTCACGGTGATCCTCCTTGGAGTCGCGATGGACCACCACCCAACAAGTCTGTTAAAGGTAAATTTTATTTCTATTTAATATTTTTCAAATTGATATCTAAGCTTAATCAAACAAATACCAAAAGTTAGATCACAAATTACGATTCGTTGTAATTTGCGATAAAACCCCATTTTTAAAAAATATAGCAATAAAACTGAATACAGAAATAATCATTAATGGAATTTTCTTTCCCCGAATAAAAATAGACCACCGGTAATTGAGCACATCGTTTAATAACGAGCTGGGTTCTATAGTGTACCTCCGTCTCTCTATATAAATGTGAAACTCTAACGAAATTACAAGGAAGAGAGAAACGATAGACAGAGGGTTGAACGAATGAATGAGTGGCAGTAAGACCCGAAGAAGGATTTCCTCTTGATTATTGTCCCCTACGCTTACGTCAATCTAAAACTCACATTCTCTATACTGCTGGAACCGAAAGACTAAACAAAGTTATCCTTCCACTGGCCCCTCATACTATTTCCAGACTGCGCGTCACGTATCGCACTAGAACTTCAACTCTTCTATAAATCATTCCTCATTTTTCCTTTTTCCTAAACGTCTCGATTAGCTTCTGCCAAATTATATTTACCCACAAAATTTTGTTTTTGTTCTACAACTACTACTACTGTAATTATTTTATTAAACCTTAGTTCTTTTAAACCAAATATCTTTTTAATTTAAACAAACATTTGATTCAGTTAGATAAATTTTTAGCCATTGAAGAAAAAATTTGTTCCTCTGTATAACAGATTTTTAATTAAACAAATCAGTTTTTCTAAGGATACCAAATTGGGACAAAAAATGTTGCGAGGCAACATACTTAATTGTTTTAATACTTGTCCCAATTTGATATCCCTCAAACATTTCGTTCAGTTTAATAAATTTTGCCTTTGAAGAAAAAAATTCGTTCCCCTGTATAGCAGATCTTTATACTTATCAACATAGTTTTTCTAAGGATATCAAATTGAGACAAAAAACGCATCAAAACGTACAACGTTTTGATACGTTTTTTGTCTCAATTTGATATCCTCAGAAAAACTGTGAAAAAATCTTCCACTGTACAGAAATTTTGTAATACATTTATGTAATCTTTTTGTATATTCTACAAGAGAAAAGAAATTCGATAGTTACTGATGGCAACTAATTCAGAAATGGTTTTGCAATATAATTGTTTACCATGTAAGTCGCGAACAAACATTTTCACCCGCGCATTGCACACTTACATATTATTCTGACCCTGCAATTGAATATATATATACAATGGAAATTGTAACCGAATCTATATACTACTACTGTATTCGGAGTACGTGACGTTAATCATTTGTTTGCGCAAACAATTCAAGTACATTATGTCTATACCGATGCGATAAACATTGAATTAGAAGAAACTGAACAAAAACAGGGAAACTTTGGAATTTATACAAAAAAAAAATTTATCTCACTCGTCATTTGTATTCCTTTCTCGAATCACATATAGATATAATTGCTCGCAGTGAAATTATTTTCCTGGTTCACGTATAAAAAAAATCCTTTTGTTTCTTTCAAATAAACTGCGAAAATAAAATTTTTCACAGAAGAAAAGGTTAAAGTAAGTTTTACTTTGTAAATCGTAAAGCTTATTCTTTATCCTTTTCTTGTATGAAAAATTGTATCCTCTACTATCCTTCTCTCCTTCAAAAATTATAAAAGTTGTGGAGAATTTTTTAATAAGTAAATTCTACTAATAAACTTTACTAAAATCTACTTCGAAGATAATACAACGTACACTGTTAATAAAAATTAACAGCGCAGAAATTAGAAAAACTAGTATTTACTATATAGTAAAAAATATAAAAACAAACAAACAACAAATTTTAATTCTACAGATAAAGACGCGAAAATAATTGCCTTTCCCCTATGTTTGCTCAGTAGCTTGTGATTCTGACGTGTTCAATCATTGGTGACTAATTTTATCCACAACTCCAAAAGTATCTGTAGCTGATACTTTCTTCTGATGGATCAGCATATGGATCAAGAAAATCTAACCCAATTTTCTGTTTTTGAAACATTTATCTCAAGCAAATATACTTAAAAATAGCATTTTAATATTTTGAATCCTTTTCCATTTCACTATTTTTAATCTTCATGATCAAATTTTCGGCAGGCGATAAAATTGAATGAGAAAGGAATGTCGAATTTTTTTTTCACATTAACGCAAGAACGAACTGCACAATCACGCGGGATGAGTAAGGAAGAAAAATTCTCGAAAGAAAAACGTAAACGGGACAACAATAGATGCCACCTCACGATACCCTTATAACTCGAGTGACCACGCAACCGGCAACAGATTCACAGATACATAGTAATGGAGAATTGTCGCCAATAATCGAACCGATAAGATCACATGGTCTCTTTCATTTTCGAGCTTCATTTAACCAAAAATAGGGGACACACTGTTTAATAAATAATTCTCCAGCATTTTACTTCAGTTCAAAAAATAAAAATGTCCCCTTAAGTAATAAAGTGAACTATTCTTTTTCAAAACAAAGGGAATTTCAGTTCTACTCATTTACAAAAATCGGCGTTTGCTCTCCTTTCAAAATAAAAAATCTTAGTACACAAAAAGTGAGTTAACTTTTTACCCTCGGATTTATAAAAATCACTTAATTCCTTCTCGATTTAGAAAAAAAGGAATAAGATTTATACAATTGAACTCCTCTGGATCAAGTCACTAGTCTGCTTTTTGTTTTTCATACTCTAATTTTTTTTATAACCTTTTCAAAATTGAATTTTACTAAAAAAAAAGTAAAGAAGAAAAAAAGCATTATTTCTTGCGGTTAATTTTTTTGAAGATAGAAACAAGTGAGGTGTGGTATGTGGATCCAGAAAATCAAGAAAGGTCGGTTAAGTTAATATTTGCGGAGCCGAGAAACGGGAAATCTACCAGCGAGAGGTATAAAGGGCTGAGAATAAGGAGGGGTAGTGCAGTCCCCCTCCCCCCATCTCTACCCACATGTAAATCTAATCACGGCAACAACCCCAACGCCCACTCCTCGCATTACCAGCCACCGATGTAACTAAACTAACGAAATTGAGTTAGGTGCCAGGCCGCGTACTGCTGCCACAACTCCTCGTCAAACTAAATCCACTGCCCTCGCGTCGTCACTTCATTTATATCTATATACATTTATTTCAACACTACCACTAATTTTTCAAAAGAAATAAAAAAAGCAAAAAATTCCAAATTTATGTTAAATGTAAATTTAAACTAATTTTTCATCAACGATATAAAACTTATCCCTTCTTTCTTCACTATTCATCTCTTCTCTAACTTTTCCAAAAACAATTTACGTACTTATTTATTTAAGCAATAAAATTTAATAAAATTAAAAAAACAACTTTCGGTCTTTGATAATAAAATTTCTAAATGTTACGAAACGTAAAAATTCTATTGAATTGTTCTATAGTGAAATTCTATAAAATGTTTACTAAGTAGATTTTATGTAGGATTCTAGAAGATTCTATATATTTTTTTAACTGCGACACCGTAATCATAAATGAAAAAATGAAATTTTCCCTAGTTATTTATATCAGTGACTGAAAAAAATGTTATTGTCGCATATGGTTTAAATAAAGGCCCGCAAGGTTGAATAATTTTCAACTTTTTCAGCGATGATGTTTTACCAGTGAAGAGAAAAAGAGGGTTGACAAGAGGAAAGAAGGGAGTTTAAACCAGTGTTTAACGTAGTTGGCGGCTATAGTTAAAAGCGAGGAGGGTTACCGTACAGTATAAAAAGGTTCTCATTCTATCTTCCCACATATCCCACGTGATAGAACTAACAAATAAAAATCACTTTAATTTATCCTTCAATTTTTCCAAAAGATACTTTTTTGAAAATTAGCAACACTTTCGAAACTTTAAATTATTTTTCCACTTAATCAAAATTCTATCTAAAAATTAGATATTCTGTCCTTTATTAATATATGTTGGTTTTTTATACATGTATAAAAAACCAACATATATTTATAAAAGACAGAATATCTAATTTTTGGGTAACTTTTAAAAATTCTATAACAGTGTATATAATTAAAATTGAGAGCCACGGGCGCGCCCTTCGCCGGGTCGGGCCTAATGAAATACAGGGATTAGCTAAATACACCTGACTAATTAAGCAGTACTTAACTAGATCATCGTCACCAATACCCTAATCAACGCCTCGTTAGCATCATCCTATTTGCCTTTGTAAATAATATTCGCGTTCAGATTTTAAACAAGATTTACACCGCAGGGGGATTGTCTCTTCAACCCGTGGAAATCATTTTAATAATATTTCATTTCGGATAAGTGAGACAACAAAGGGAGATGCTGGAAACTGGTCCCAGCAGAGTATATCTTTGCAATTTCAATCCCACAAACATATTCGATATTTCATCTATATAGGTATATGCGGATTTTAAAATTCCACTCCTTAATTTTTAAATTTTTATCATCCACTTAAACGATTTTTAATCAAAACTAAAAACAAATTATCGAATATATTCTTTTACCCCCGTGAAACGATTCTGCGGAATGTTAAACTGTTACCAACTCCAATTGGATTTGGTAACAGTTTAACATTTTTTTATCAGCTAAGGACTTTTTTCTGTGCAAAATTAATAAAAAAAAAGAATTAAAAATAAAAAATATAATAATAAGGAAATAATATTAAAAACTATAAAAAACTGTTACCAACTCCAATTGGAGTTGGTACCAGTCTAACAGTTTTTAAAAGTTATCGAAAACTCTATACAAAAATATAAAATGTGGAATATTTGCAAAATTTTTGTACAGAAATTTTTACGCAATTCTTTACGGAATTCCATACGGAATTTCCGTAGAACGGTTTCCGTAGAATTGTTTCACGTGGATAATTCAATATTTTTTTAACAATTTTTGAAAAAGTTCTTTGTGAAATTTCAAATTCTTTTGTTTACAATTTAACTTTACGAAATTTCGACTATTCTACATTCTTCAATCAAATATATTAGAAATTAAA